TCTAATTTGTTTTAAAAGTTTAATATTCATACGTTTTTATTTGGTTAATAACAATTTATAAAATAACAAAAAGATTAAATTAATCTATCTTTTCTATTATATTAATATTTCCTATTATATTAGATTAGTATTAGTTAGTGGTCTAATAATAAAAAAAATTTCAACAAGCAATTGTATAATGTTAAATATTTTATTATATAAATGGGCACTTGATTTTATTTAATAATTAATAGTAACATTAATAGGAAAAATTAAGAAAAATAATTTCTACCAGTTGTTTATAAATATGCAAAAGATTAATAGAAAATGACCTATTGCAAAGTTGCTATGGGACACCGTCACTGAATTACAACCAATATCATCTCTTTTGCCATCACCATGATTACCATTGGGGCATGAACAATGATAGGAACCTAGAGTATAGGTACTTGCCTGGTAAGTGTATTTTGTACACTTATCTAGGCAATTAAATTGGAGTATTTATTAGTGATTTAGATGAGTTATTGTTTAATTTGTGTTAATTATGTTTGTTAAGTTGAACTCAATGCAAATTGATGGAATTGGAAGAAATGAATGAAAAATGGGCAAAAACGAAAGAAATTCAAAGTTTGAGAACCAAAGTGTAAATGCTCAATAGTTGATTCAGACAATAAAATAATGATTGAAGATCACATATGATCAATTGGATGCAATTTGGAGGTAAAAAGAGTAAAATTGAGTTGAAATATTTTCATAAATCAATTTCTAGTCGAAGAAGTTATGCTCTGGATTTTAAAATTAAAATTGAGATCCATTTTTTTTTATAGAAAAATTTCTATTTCGAGAAGAATTATAGCTCTTTGAGTTAGCTTTCTAATACACTTTGAATCACCTTAATCGGACATTAGGAGAGAAAGTTATAACAAAAATATCGAAAGTTAATCAGGGACAACACTGTGCAAAATGGCATGCGCGCATGAGACAATTCTAGGGTGCACACAAGACACCAAAATTTTGACCTAGAGCCATTTGGATCAATGGCGTGCGCGATGATTATGCCTATGAGCGTGGGGGCCTTTTTCGCAGATAAATCAGCAGTTTTCTTTCGCGATTCAAACTCTTTTGGAACCCAAATTGGATCCGATTTTGACCTATTTCCTGACTCTTATAAATAGAGAACAAAGGTTACACATTGAAAAACCCCCTCTCTTGCTTCTTCATATACAATAGTATCATCAAATTTGTCATAAATAAGAGGTCAATCACGTTAAATAATTATTAGATTTTTTAATATTGAACTGGTTAGTAAGAGTAGACTACTTTAATTAAGTATATATAGTAATTTTTAAACAAAACTAATCACGGTATCCTAGGTAGGATTGCCCTCGTATCCTTCCTTGCACTTATAGTGATATCCTCCAAAACTAAGATTGGAATCATAAATAATGCAATAACTATTCTTTCCACATGCATAATTAGTGAAATTTTGCTCCACGATGCAATTATAGCCACCGATTCTCCAGTCTAACATCAATGGCATACCTATAAACTCTTCATTACTACGTAAGAATGTTGTTGAATCGTCAAGATGAGATAAACTAAAATCGAATTTATCATAATCACCTATCCTTCCAACGAAGGCAAAGTTGTATTGGAAGAATTTGATATCTCGACCCCAATATGCATGTCTAACAATTCAACTCGGAGACACTCACTTTTGGATATGGAGGTCTGGCAACACCCCGTGCCTGGACATGACCCAATTTGAATATAAATTGAAAGGTTGCCACAATATGACGCACAAGTAACACTATCAAAGGTATTTGTTAGGTATGAATGTTGTGATGCCATTGCTAGGTCATTGAAACCAATGGACATGATTTGATTTGTATCTAACAAGGAATAAAGACCATCCAAAAGTCCCATTGACATAGTAAGTTCTATATCTTGTTATCGAATCCCATACTATAGCAGGCCATTGCCAAATGTGCCTCGGAGTTCTTAAGATAGATTTGGGTTTATGAGATAATAACAACCTTGTGGGAACACATTTCGTAGCGAACTAGGAGGTAAGGTTTTGGAGGGTTGAAAAAAGTACTGTAATTGATTTTGAAGTGTACGTTCCTAGACAGGGGCGGATTTAGCAGTGGACTGCACTTGGCTGCAGCCCACTGTCTTCCAGGCCCAGATGTAAAAAAAAAAAAAAAATTGGGTTTGAATTCTAATTATTCAGCCACATCAGCCCACTAACAAATAAATTCAGTGGGCTAGCCCACTTTAAAAAAAAAATTATTTGTAGCCCACTAACCTATATAATTTTAGGCCCAAAATAATACCCATTCCATTAATCAAATAATTAATCCCCAATTCCCAAACATTTTCCATTCCTAATGTACAAAATGAACTCACACAAACAGCCAACATTTTCCATGCCGGTTTGTGACGTTTGTCCCTACTCGTAGCCACCGGCCGAACGAAATTGTTGATTACCGACTGGCCCGACTCAAGCCTGCTGGCTGCCTACCGATTCGCCGCCTCAAACCTGCCTGCCGACGACTTGGGTTAGGTTTTTAGGGTAAGTAATTTACTATTTAGTTTCTTGTTCAATTCATCAATTGTTTGTCTTTTAATTTGATTTCCAGAAACAGAAAGTAAATGTGAAATAAATAATGAATAGCTTGGAGAAGTAGAAAAAATTGGTTTTCCGTTTTCAGAATTATCGCCCCTGCTCGCTAGACTGGTGGTGAAATAAGAAAGGCTCCTAATTGGCTAATTCCTAAACTTATTTGGGCTTGCTTTACTTTGGCAATTGCGGTGTGGTCAATTGTATAATTTGTATTGTGCATGTTTATTGTTAATTTAATGTGCTTACCTTCTCAGCATGAGTATTGATACAAAATATATGGAGAATGCTGGATAAGAATTAAAGAATAATAAGTCCTTGTTTATTAATCTTAACATACTGAGATTAATTCCCAAAATAAGCTTGCTGTAAACATGTGACTTCACTAATGCTTTGTTTTGTTATGTAGACTCTGGATTCTTGAACAATATTAAGCCATCATTTTTAGTAACTTATAAGTTATTTTTACTATCAAGTTAAAATCAAACTTTAATTTTAATTACATATTACAACTACTATTCATTATTATTCACATATTTCATAATCTCCATTCTCCACCAATATTCATCCTAAATAATTCCTAATAAATCTTTCCTGAACATAGGCTAAGTTAAAATCTTTCTATTTTACGGTCAAGTTTAGTCAAATATTGTATAGCTAGCATGTTCTTAGATCTTACACAATAAACTTAGTTCTTGTTTGATGAAGTTTTTCTTTGCTATAAAACGGGTCTAACTCATTTTTTCACTAGATCAATACCTAGGAGAACTCATTGAAAACTACAAATTGAGTTGAGGGGTCAATTTATTTTCTCCTATAGTTTTTTTTCCTTTTAATAATATGGGTATTTTGATCTGTAAGACTATAACATAATTAATACATTTAAAGACAGAAAGCCACTTTGGTTTTGTCGAAGTTCTATATTTATGTAAGAGAGATTTTAGTTGACTGGCCATTGTTTGTCTTGTCTAGGGTCATTGAGTTGGATATGTCTGATCAAATGCAAAGAAGTTCAAGTGAAGTTTAATATATAGAATTTTGTGAAAGGGATGGGAAGGCATTTCTAGCTAATGTGTTTTGCTGTTTTTAGTGCATGTGATAATCTAACCTGGTCTTAAATGTTTGGGACATATGTAGTTTAGGGAATGACTTTGATTTTAAGTCATTAGGGGTTTTATGAATACCATTTCCTGCCAACCATTGTTGTAGGAAGTTTTGCTTCAAATGTTCCTATTGGCAGATGAATGATTTCAATGAAGTACATTACCAGATTTCAATGTTTTCTGTTGATGGTTCCATCTATTTGAGTCAAATATGATTTTATTTTTGCTTCATGAATTGATCTGTCCTTCTTGTTCTTCTTGTTGTAATTATGATATCTATTAAATAGAAATACTTGTCCCTAAATTGCTTTTTATTTTTATGCTTTTAGATTTAATATGGAGGAAGATCGACCTTCTACCAAGAAAGGTAGAACCTTATTGTCTTTCTTTTCAAAAAGTAACAAATCTCAGGATTCTCCAATTCCTACAGTGTCCATTCCTCCAATTTCATGCCCTGAAGTTAAACGGCCTTCATCTTCAAATCTTAATTTTGAACCATCTGATTCTATTGAACGAGACCTGGAAAAAGAAAGCAAATATGTGAACATTCATTTAATGAACGTGATCAGATTCGGCGGGCTTATCTAAATGTTGGACCTTGTCAATCAAAACTTTTGGAGTATCAGAGCAAAGAATGTGGAAAGCAGAAACATCGATTTCAGGAACATTGGTATAATCAGTTTCCTTGGTTGGAATATTCGCCTTCAATACATAAGGCGTATTGTTTTTATTGCTTCCTTTTTCTCAATGATAGTACTCCACCTAATATTTCATCATTGGTTACTATTGGATTTGATAGTTGGAAGAGGGTTAACCAAGGAAGTAAATGTGCATTTCTTATTCATGTTGGTACAACATCGTCATCGTTTCATAATGGCTGTAAGAGAAGAGCTGAAGATCTAATGAAACCAACTCAACATATTGACAAGGTAATGCATTCTGTATCAAATGAGGAAAAACAGAAAAATCGTTTGCGTCTAAAGACCACTATTATGAGTGTTAAGTGGTTAGCTCTTCAAGGTTGTTCCTTTAGAGGCCATGACGAATCTCCATCTTCACTGAATCGTGGGATTTTTATTGAATTGGTGGATGCATTTGCAAAAATAAATATTGAAGTAGGAAAAGTTGTGTTGAGTAATGCTCCCAAAAATGCTACATACACGTCTCCAGACATTCAAAAAGAAATTTTGAGCATTATGGCAAATAGAGTACGACAATGAATTCGTACGGAAATTGAAAATGCAAAGTTTAGTAATCTTGTTGATGAAGCACGAGATGAATCTTCACGAGAACAAATGACTATTATCCTGAGGTTTGTGAATAGTAATGGAATTTTGACAGAACGATTTTTTGCAATTAAAAGTGTTAGTGACACTACCTCATTAAATCTTAAGAATCAGATTTCTGATGTTCTTGTTCGTTTCAACCTTCAAGTGCAAAACATGAGAGGCCAAGGGTATGATGGTGCTAATAATATGCATGGTTCTTGGAATGGACTACAGACATTATTTCTTAAAGATTGTCCATATGCATACTATGTTCGTTGTTTTGCCCATCGTTTACAACTCACATTGGTTTCTGCAGCTAAGGATGTCTCAGATATTAATTCATTTTTTTCTCATTTGGACAATGTTATTAATATGATTACATCATCTCCTAAGTGCATCAATGAGTTGAAAAGTGCCCAAAGAAAAGAAATTGAGCATTTGTTAGAAATTGGAGAACGAGAGTCCGAAAGTGGTGCTAATCAAATTGGTAATTTGCAACGAGCCGGAAGTACTCGTTGGTCTTCTCATTACAACTCTGTAAAGAGTTTGATTGATATGTATGCTGCAACTTGCAAGGTGCTTGAGTATCTTAGTGATCATTCTCCAAGTACAAGATCTCGATCCGAAGTTGGCGGTGTATACAAAACCATAACAACATTTGAATTTGTATTTATCTTGCATTTAATGCGAAGAATATTAGCAATTGCGGATGTTCTTTGTCAGTCCCTTCAAAAGAAAACTCAAGACATCTTAACTGCTATGAGATTTGTCCGTACTACAAAAACTATCCTTCAGGTATTGAGAGAAGATGGCTGGGAAGAATTTCTTAAAGAGGTGAAATGTTTTTGCTCAAAAAATGATATACATGTACCTGACCTTAATGGTTCGTATATGGTTGGTCGTTCTCGTGATCGTGAGTATCCTACCATTGAACATCATTACCACTTTGATATTTTCAATGTAGCTATTGACTTTCAGATGATGGAGTTAGATACAAGATTTAATGAGACATCAATAGAGCTCCTTTCTTTCAGTACAGCTTTGGATCCAAAATATTCTTTTGAATCATTTAATATGGATAATATTTGCAAGCTTGCAGAGAAGTTTTATCCTGAAGATTTAAGCAGCAAGATATTTATTGTTTGAAAGTTGAGTTGCAACACTATCAAAATGATGTGATTTCTGAACCTCGATTTCAAGTACCTACACTTTCTGATTCATGTCGGGAATTAGTTGCAAGCAGAAGGTCGGAGAGTTACGTCATTTTGATTAAATTGATTTGTTTAGTACTGACACTACCTGTTTCAACGGCGACTGTGGAGCGAGCTTTTTCAGCAATGAAACATGTGAAAATGGAAATTCGTAACAAAATGGATGATGGTTTTCTTGCTGATTGTTTAACACTCAACATTGAACGAGAATTTAGTCTGAATTTAGATCTAGATTCTATTATAGATGAATTTTATGCTGTAAAACATCGCCGAGTAGAACTTCAATAGGTAACTTATATTATAAATTTTTCTTATTATATATAAATTTTATTCGTACATTAAATTTTTTAAATTTTTAGCCCATCGTAACAGTAATTCCTGGCTCCGCCCCTATTCCTAGAACACTTTGACCTTTTACCAAACGGGTATGGAATTTCTAAGTCTCCACATCTACTTTGACAACCAACTTTAGTGGTAATGGTGGTAGTGGCGGGGCTCCAACCTCATATGGCGGTGGTGTTACCACTAGTGAAAGAAAGCAGAAGATTTGGAGCAAAACCCGATGCACTAGCATGTTTTTCTGAAAAAGAAAAAGAACTTGGCTAATCTATGTATACTAAACAATAGTTGAGATTTATAATCCCGTTGATAATCAATTGCTTCGAATAAATATCAATTTAGCTCCAAAAATATCTTTTTTCATGCCAATTTCTTCCAAATGCATCCAAGTCATAATTTACTTACAATTATTATATTTACAACTAAATTAGGTATATATAAACACAATTAGCTATTGAATAGTACTATATGTACATAATCGAATACAAACCTTTCATAGAAGAATGATGGGGCGCTATTTTGAATTAAAAAAATGCCACTTATGTTGACTGCTCAAAATCTCTCCTGCCTTGTTTTTAAAATGAAAAAGAATTAATCACCCCAAACTCAGTCTCTCTATCTCTAAATCACCCATCTAGATTGTCGGCATGAAGATCTCATTCAAATCTAGAAGCATGTTAGGTTAGTAATGTTGACCTCATTTAGTGTAATGGTGATGTGGACAATAGATGTCGAGTCCACTCACATCCATACAAGCAAATTCCAGCACTTTTGATCGAGGACTTGGTCAGAGGAGATTATCGTATATATACGTGGGAAATGCTCTATGATACGAGACAAATAAGTTCAAGCTTTGGCAATATATTTTAGTAACGATTGTACAATAATTAACTACCAACAGACAAGTCTAAGAGATCAAAGTATTCCACATTCTAATTAAGCAAGTGTATAATCAGCTAGAGAGAGAGGACAATGAGTCGCTTCAAGTAATTAGAGTTGCATTAGTCCTTAAATGATACAATGAGGTGGTATTTATAGTGTTACACATGAAATGGTGTTCACTGAATGAAGATAGACGTGGCCTCATCTTTTTAACCAAAGCATCTAATCCTAGGCATTCATTTGAATTTACTAGCTAGTGACACATTTAATGCTCTTGCAGGGAATAGACACCTTACAGCTTAAATTGACAAGACTTAACATTCTACTCATTATAAAAGTCCCATCAATCATTCGAAAGGGATCTCATATATAAATTCAGGACCTTCGCATGTGGGTCATCACTGTGGCTAAGCTTCGACTTTGACTTTTGATGAATTTCATCACTTCTGTAGACAAATGCACTTAGCTTCAAGGCTTTGTCTTTAACATGGGACTGCTTCGATGAGTATGACTTCGACACTTCGTGTCTATAGACTCCAATGGTCCACGTGGTGTAATTGTAAGGGCTTTAATGGGTTGGTGACATGGAGCCTATATGGTCAGGCGTAACAATAGTCAACTAAGTCCAAGTATAGATACTTATATCATGACTGGAATTGAAAATGGAACCTGATTCTTGCATGTCATCCTATCCTTATGCAGTGTTAAATTGTTGAGGCTTCCTATTATAATAAAATTTGAGCCGAGTCAATGAAATGTTGAACTGTCGAGGCTCCTTTGTTTGAACTGAAGCTGATAAGCTTCGACTTTGACTTTTGATGAATTTCATCACTTCTGTAGACAAATGCACTTAGCTTCAAGGCTTTGTCTTTAACATGGGACTGCTTCGGTGAGTATGACTTCGACACTTCGTGTCTATAGACTCCAATGGTCCACGTGGTGTCATTGTAAGGGCTTTAATGGGTTGGTGACATGGAGCCTATATGGTCAGGCATAACAATAGTCAACCAAGTCCAAGTATAGATACTTATATCATGTCTGGAATTGAAAATGGAACATGATTCTTGCATGTCGTCCTATCCTTATGCAGTGTTAAATTGTTGAGGCTTCCTATTATAATAAAATTTGAGCCGAGTCAATGAAATGTTGAACTGTCGAGGCTCCTTTGTTTGAACTGAAGCTGAAATTTATTTGAGCCAAGGCAGGGAAGTACTGGACAGCTGAAGCTCCTTTGTTTTAATTGAAGCTGAAATGCTGATGCCCATTTACTTTGATTAGATGAAATGGACAATGGCGTCAATGATTTGATGTTTTCTCACTTTAACAAGAAAAAGTAGCTAACTCAATATGACTTTCAATACACGTACAACTGTTATATTTAATGCACAATCCGAGGAGGCGTGAAGAGCATGGATCAATCCAAGGCATTGACAAAAGAAACTGTTTGAATTCAACGACTCAGATTTAACCTAAAATGGATGCTTCAAATGGATTGGATTTTGATCCTATGGCTGTGATTCATTTACCTTTTGTATATAAGCTGAAAACATACCATTATTTTGGCTTTTACCTTTGCGAAAATCCTCTTAACTCTCTTGCATTCAAATTTTCTTCCGGCGATCTTCGCTTTTCGGCAAATCACGTTCTTAGAGTTGTTTAGGAAACTTCTGTGAATATTTCCTTAGCATTTCCATTTTTTCTTCTTTCAATGGCGTTTGGTTCGAGTTCTAGTGGTAGGGTAACAATTGCCAAGGTCGACAAGGAGGCTATGCTTGGTGGATTGATAGGGGGCTATTGCTTTTTACTCAATTTTAATTTCAACGCCTTTTAATAACTTAATTACGAACTCTTGGAACCTGTAGTTCAATTACGGCTAATTAAGGAACTTGAAGCATTATATTTTAAAATTTTAATGATGAAAAAGCCAGGGTGAAAATAGGAAGGGACTTGAAGTGATCAAAAGATTAGATGCAAGGACCAAAACAAAAGAAGAAAAGATGATTGCAAGCATTGTTAGGTGCAATCGCAAGTAAGAAATTCTAAATTCCTAAGAGTAAATTGTTAAGCCGAACTGATAACATATAGTCATAAATTGCGATTGCACAGTGTATTCCTACCGAAAAGATTTTATATATTTATTTTGATCAACCTCTTCTTGGAAGGTAATTAGGGGCACACGATTTTTGACCTAAATCTTGGTTTATCAATACATTCTTTTATCCACAATTCGAAAGAAAAGGAGCTTGGAGGCTCTTGTACATAAAAATACATATACATTACAATGAAAAGAGCAATAGGAGATCTACAATTCCATATTCTTTGCAAAGCTTGAAGAAGCTTTCATTACAAGACACCTATTCCTCCATATTTCATATATACATCTACTGCTAGAGTTAAAGAAGAAAAAGAAAATATTAAATGGGATAATCAAGAATCATTTAAGGAATTCAAGATTCAATACTTTCTAGAATCTTTCTTCACAACCTTCAATTCTGGGTGATGTTATATCTTTTCAATTGGTGGTGTTGTAATCATATAATGCTCGGTTAATTGTATAGATGCCAGAATAACATTGAAAATTCTATATTTTGATGTTAAATATTTATTTGGGATAAATGATTGTTAGGAATTTTATTTTTTTTAATTAATTGATCACTAATTTATTAGATGTATAACTCTTATTATCATTCACGAGAAGGAATGTGAGTTTAGCACAAGTATCAATTATCTTAAGGTCCTATAAACTTCAGAAATAATTGTATATGCTTTGCATGATTAAATTTAAAGTTCTTGTAATTTAATGCATCTTCATATGTTCGCATTTGGAATAGAGATATACTCGGGATATATGTGAGGATAGGTTTGATTCTACCTGAGAGAGATTATTAACCATGGTTAAAATGTTGATTTTCGAGTTCAAATAAATGTTATCGAATTGTAAAATTGATATTAAGATGGACGAATGTAGGAGGACTCAGGCTCCCAATGTTTCTCCCTTCATCGAGTATTCATAACATTTCCTACCACTTTATTAATTTAGTTAGATAATTAGATTAGACTTTGGTTGATAATATATCCATTTTTTATTTATTAAATTGTTGAATTCAAGTAATGCCACATTGGTAGCATAAATGATTACTCAACAAGTCTTTTAATAAAACTACTCCTGGTTATCATACATAGTTAATAGATTTGGCATTTGAGTAAAGAGTTTATTTTACGTGGTACAAAGGAAGATAAAGAGTTATAGAAACTAAAAATTTAAAAGCAATAAACTCAGGTCGTCGAAATATTTCCACTGTACCATGTTTAGCCAAGATTTCATACAGTCGATGTGCGGAAGAAAAGTAGATTCAGGTCGAGTTAACATATATTATTCTCGAATTATTTGATATTAAAATAACATCTCTTTTATATTTTTAATGGTCAATTGCCTTGGCAAATAGGTGCAAGATCGCCAAAGTAAAATTCCCAATCTCCCATCACGCACAAAAAAAGAAAAAGAAAAAAAAGTAGAGTCTTTCTGGTAGGAGTCAATGCATTCGAGGCCAAAAAGGATAAAAAAAAAAATAATAATTTAATTTTTTAATTTTTTTTTAAATTTTTATAAAGAAAAGTTCACAAGTAATCTATTGCTGGATGCCATTATAAAGCCCAACTGTGTGCCTGTTGTTCAGTATGTAATATGCATAGATTAGCCTCGAAAACATGCAA